CCCCCTCCCTCGTTTCATACTCCGCCCACTTACACCATTTCCCCACTGACTGCATTGGAGACCCTTTGAAAAGGCTCATTTTCGCCATTTTCATGCAAGGAAAAGCCCAGTACGGGTTACTCATAGCGAAAGGGTCCCGGAAGTGTGAAAAAGTGGAAAACGAAATGCTGCCGGTACACTGCTTTTAAGTTGTATATAATGTGTACAGGCTCGACAAGAAGCTCATAAACGAGCGTTGAAAGAGCTGGCTGGCCAAGATAATGGTGATGTCAAGGAACCTGAAGAAGCATTGAAGGCACAACTGGGGCAGTTGCGGGTGGGAGTCACGGTACGTAAAAAATCTCATTTTTACTTCATGTTTTTTTTTCGAACACAACAGGGTAGTGCGTTTTCTCCGATGTTACGAAAATTTGAGTTTCTCAGCGGTACCACTAATTTTCATTTCGTTCATTTTATTTTATTTTTTTGAATTTAGACATCTTTCAATCAGTTTATAAGCCTTATCAGGGTGTTTTTTGATTGCTTCACAGTCTAGCATCATTATGACTAGCGTATCTACGATTCAGGATTCTATATATGACGACTCTGACACGCCTTTCGACCCCACGCATCCATTGTTGTTCAGGCCAGTAAGGAGAGATCTATCATTGAATGGGAATGGTGAGTTTTCTTTATTCTCTTATCTCAAGAGTGCATAAGATTTTGATTTTTCTGATCCAGGGGTTGCCCATACCAATGGAACTTCTCCACCTCCTCGTCCCGTAGCCGTTACAGCAACGACAGTATCAAGTTTCACAACACCCCAACCACAAAAAGCCGAACTCCGAGGTCCGCCACCGCCTATTCCAGCTCGACCACCGAATCTTGCCCAAAAGGTTGCTGTACAGGCGGTAAGAAGCAGTTACATGTTTGCTGCTTGCTTGTACTGAGGTAATGGGTAAATTTTTAGAGTCAGAGTTTGCCTCCTGCGGTACCTCTGCCCACTACGTCGTGGCAGGACACATTGTTGGTAAATGGTGGGTTTTCTTTATCAAAGTTTTTCAAGTGCCAGTAGCAGCTATATTTTGTCGGATGAAAGTTGTCAGTTTGAAAGTTATGAGCCTAGCACGGCACGACTAGGCACTGCTCCAGTTACTAGTGTTAATCAGAAGTCGTACTAACTCGTCTTTTCTTCTTTTTTTTTTTGAACCTGAGCATCTGCAAAGACATTTTTATGAAGGCTTGTCAGTGTTGTACCAATCGCAACACTGACAAGGTGTCAAAAATGACTATCCTGTCAAAGATAGTACTAACCTAATGACAAATGTCAGATTTTCATCAGGTCTCTGTGTCATTTCTGCTGACATGAGTAATAATAGCATTCCAGGTGTGAAGCTGAGACCGCCTCGAGATATAACTCCAGAACAAAAAGCTGAAGATGTTCAAAAACGCGAGTCGGAAATCTTCCAAAGCATCCAGGTGAACAAAATAGTTCTCTCTTCAGTTGTGTTATCTTGGTGATGTGCAGGGTTCCCCGCAGCCACGGAAAGAGTAGGTTTTTCGGCGTCCTGGGTTGTTTCGTGGGAGTAGAGACCGAAACACCACAACCTAGTGTTTTGTCTTGTTGTGGTGATTTAGATTTAGTATAGGCAGCACGAATTTGAAAAATAGGCTGTACATAGATAGATATTTTTACTCCTGCTTCGTGTGTTGTGTTAGGAAGGTAAAACTATGTTTGGAGATACAGAACCCTATGTTCTTCCTGCGCTTCCCTTTTTCATTTTTTTTTTGTGAAGGGAAATTGTATTGGATACTCAGTGCCGTTTGAAAAAAAACCACTCTAAGATCAGCCAACTTTCTAGCACGGAGATGATAACAGAAACTAGCACGCGCTATCGGATCAAATGGCCACTATTTTTTCTTCAACTCATTTTTATTTAGGAAAAGCGAGAGCGTATCCGACGGGAAGCTGAGGCGGAGTCTGAGAGACAGCGGATTGAGTGGGAGCAGCAAAGTAAGCCTTACTTCATAATTACTTCTTCATCATAAATATTTCAATCATTGTTCCTGTAACAATTATTCTTTTTCTTACTTTTCTTATCATTACTAGTGAACCAGCAATGTAAAGGGGATTCGCAGGCGCGCGTTGGGACCGCCCTCTGTTTTCCGCTTTTGGAAGATTTTTGAACTGCGCTTGTGATCCTTT